TATATATATATATATATATATATATATATATATATATGTATATATATATTGGTCTTATTTTTTTCTTTGCCATAGTTTTACCATCTTAAATGTACATTTACTCTTTTCAATCACCTTTTGTTTTATGTAATGCTCTGCTGCGCTGTAAATAAAGGTCACCCTCAATGTATGTCCCAGTTTAAATAAAGGTTGATGGATTTATTAAGGGGGGGGGTCTTACCTCAGGTGAGGGGCATCTTACCAGCTGGGGGCTTAGCGTGGGTAGTGAGCATCTTACCCCAAGTAGAAGAGTTTCTTCCCCAGATGGGTGTAAGGTGTTCTTACCCCAGGTACGTGGAGGGTCTTAACCCAAGTAAGGGGACAGTGTTCTTACCCCAGGTAGGGGGGAATCTTACTACAGCTAAGGAGAGGGTGTTCTTACTCCAGGTGAGAGGGGGTCTTACCCCAGCTAAATGGAGGTTGTTCTTACCCAACGTAAGGGCTGGTCTTACCACAGCTAAGGGGAAGGTGTTCTTACCCCAAGTAGTTGGTGGTCTTACCCCAGGTGAGAGCGGGGTTTTATCCTGGCTAAGGGGAGGATGCTCTTACGGCAGGTAGGGGGGTACTCGTCTTGACTATGGGACAAGATGCCGCTTTTACAGATTTTCTTTTTTGTGCTAAATTAACAGAACTGTCTGATGTTTCAGTTTATTTACTTAACTGTGTGCAGGTTCATACATCATCATCATGTACATGATAAACTCATACACTGATATGATTTAGATTTACAGTAAATGTTTCTAAAGGGGGAATGGTTTTCATCCAATGTTGACATTGGCACAGATGTACATGTAAAATACTAGACATCAGCGTTGTATATCAGACAGATGTTTAAATTTGACCGCTATTTCAAACCGACATCTGATGATATATTTATTGAACTCCAGAAGAGCAGAATGTTTACGTGACAGTGAGTTACTGCACTAAAATTTTACTCATCCTACAGCATTTGTGACTCTACAGAAATAAATGGCACATTTCTCAGACTTTGTCAAAATTACTACATTTTAACATTTGCGTATATATTACTATCTGCATCAGAATCAGCATCAAAAGATACTCATGTAAAAAATAGATATCAGAGCCTATTTTTTATTTAAAAAATGATAACTTAGTTTTCTAAGATATCGGCCCTTTAAGCATGGTGGTCAGCCAAAGTTTTCTTGAACTTAATCAACTCGAGCATTTGAGGAGCTACAGGAGAGCGCAGAGTCTGCAGCGCTCTGTTCTAGACACAGTAAAGACATCCGTTCTGGATTGCCGATACCATCTTCGCGCTCTACTGGACCCATGACGGTGCGGGCGCCAGTTGAGGCCATGAGTCAGATTCACAGTTTGTTTTGTTTTTCATATAAAAAAAGGCATGAAAATGTTTACATTGCTGAGCGGTGGGTTGTGCCATTTACCTACAGTTTAAACATGTACACTGAAAACTTATCGGCTGAGTGAGAGGATAACCAAAGAATTCTCAGCACAGCACATCCTACACCCCCTTTAAACCCATCAAAGAGACAGATCACGACCTGCCGATTCTAATCACATACAACCAACACCTTCAACCCGCACACATGAGCATCGCTTATGCCTGATGTCTGAGATATTGTTTTATTAAAGTTTTGAGAAGATTTTGGCCTTAAAAACCATTTTTTAGTCATGGTGACCCCTGGTTCCTATCACCACCACTATCAATAAATCTGAACCATTTCACACCAAACCACTCAAATCACTCTGTTTACACCTCACACACAGAATTATGGAGAAATATTTAAGAAATCAGTAGAATTTCAGAGGTTAATTACCTATTCAGTTGCTTTTTTTTTTTTGCTTCTAGTAAAATGCAGTTTTCGGTTTTCATTTTTGGTCTTCGAAGCGAAGCCTTGAATAAAATTCAAAATGAGTGTGAATACTACATAATTTTGGAAACACAGAGAAACTTTTTTTACAGAAAGAAAACATACAGCTTATTTATTTTCTCTGGATTTTAAAAACAATCTTAAGCCGAAAGTAAATTAAACTTTTAACCTTCGGGTTCTAGATTACATGTGTCAGGATCCAGTCCTCGAGGGCTAAAACACTGCAGACTTCAGCACACTGCCTCATTAAACACACCTCCCGGATATCATGAGTAAAGCGCACATAATAAAAAAATTAAACACTATAAACAAGTGGTTTAGCCACATTAGCTAAAAAAGGCTGAAATATGCAAAAAAAGAACATGCTAAAAAATGCATTATCTGTGGATTGATCAATTTTCCAGGACTTCACTAATATTTCTGCTAATATTTAGCTGCTTTGCTCGCAGAGCGCTACAGTGCTCACAGCATGGCTTAGCTCTGTGTACCAGCCCGTTAGCCTCTCTTAGCGGTGGTCTAGAGGTTAACAGCACAGTGCATGCACAGGTTACCCAGCACTTCATGGAGGGAGTCCAACTCAAGCTACGAAGGGCAACATCGTGGCCCTAGTGAGGGTCCGGTAGGGCAGGGCGCTGTTTGCAGCCCAGCTGAAAATACATGCTACCTATCACCGCACTACACAGTTCAGTTCTTTAAAGAGAAAAACTGTTAATGTTGGGCTGTTTTAGGTTCATTTGTACAAGGACTTTTATTTTGAAAAGCCTGAACACAGGTGCAGTGGTGGGTTTCCTGGATTAGAGCAGAGGGCTGTGTTTTTAGCTGTCAGCGCTGGAGAGGCTGTGATTCTTTTAGTCATGTTTGGTGCTGTTTTTAGCTAATTAAAAATAAATCTGCATTATGGACTGTGAAGTTTCTCCCCAAATGTTACAGTTTTTTGCAGTTCACCTTTACTGATAGCCCACACTGCCAAAAAAAAAAGAAAGAAAAAAAAAAACAAAAGTAAATATCTGAATCCCAAAGTTAAAAACCCAACACCTACCCAACAAACAAATACCCAAATAGTCAAATGTTCAAGCCCAGTCCTATTATTTTCTTAACTAAAACTAGGCTAGTCATTTAGCTAACAGGCTAAAAGATGGTATATTGCTGTAATAAACAATCATGGTGGTGTTTCTTTTAAAGATGGTATGTATTTTTTTTTAATTCAGCAGGTACTTTTCTCCTAAAATTGTAAAAGGTGATTGTATTCTGAATGCAGCTTTTCCAAAATGTAAATTGGACACTTAATGTCTGCAATCTAAATACATATTCCCGAAACTTCTATTCCATTACATCCCAACCCCGTCCAGGAAGCATCAGAGTCAGATTTGTTTTCTCACTAGATAGTTTTTATCTAGTTGATTTATTTCAGGTTTAGACTCTACAACTGGTGCTTTACTATTTTATGAACTTTTTATCTTTTTATCATGCATATTATATGATGCTCAACATCAGAGCCGGTTTATGAGGAGTCTGGCCTCTTCCTGTTTCCCCTGTTATATCAAAAACATTACTGCAAAATGCCAGAGATGAATGAATGGGGGTGAATTGAGCTAAATGCTAAAAACGAAAATTAGAGCAGAGCGCTGAATGGTCAGCATTACTGCTACTGAGTGCTGAATGATTAGCATTACTGACTACAGAGTGTTGATTGGTTAACATTATGGCTACTGAGTGCTGATTGGTTAGCTGAGCGCTGATGATGGACAAGCAGAGCAGCTCATTGGCTGTTTGCTCTCACTGACATCATTAATGTACATGAGGCACCGTTTTACACTCCTATAACTCGAGCTCAAAAGCATTTTAAAATACAACAGCGGCGTTAAATGCTTTATGCTAATTTGTGTTCAGGAAATGAATATATTGTTTTAGATTAAAAATATTTAAGCACTTATAAACCACGTTTTTGCTCGTATGCTCCATATTAACCCATTCATCCTGGAATCAGGAGTGCCCTCTAGTGTTTGAGAAACCCAGAAGACATTACATGGCAGTAATTCTCAACATGTCTCAAATATTTTTTTGAAGAAATATCGCTAAAAACTGAAAAGCAATATCACGGTATACCGCTACAGACGATAAATCAGCACTCCATGAATTTAATACGCACCTCATATTGGCCAGCACCTCAACATCTGTTTGGAGGAAGATGCTGGTCTAGTCCAGGCTCCAAAACTAACATTATTAATAGTACCTCTTCATATCTGAAGTATCAGTGAGAGTGCTGAGGTAATGGAGACAATGTTTGCACCGCTGTCATAAATAACCACGCAAGAGCGATTGTGTTTACTTCTCATTACAGGCTAATAAACAAACAGATAAACGAGGAAAACGCTACGTGAAGAAAATCATATAAATAATACTAATAATACAAAGCTGTGCCTTTTATTTGGCTCGTGCAGGCTCCTGCAGCGAATGCGGCACGAGAACGAAACGCCCAGCTGCACTGCAATACATACGCACGAGGCTGAAGTTCGAATTTTTCCGTTCCACCTTAAATAGTGCAGCGGTTACTGTAACTGCTGCACCATTTAAGGTGGAACGGAAGTCAGGCGCCAAAACGTAACTGCTGCACCATTTAAGGTGGAATGAAATTCAAATACGACACAACACCTCAGGAGCCATAATGTTACTGCTGCACCGTTTAAGGTGGAACGGAAGCCAAATACGACACAACACTTTAGGTGCCAGAGTGTAACTGCTGCACCATTTAAGGCGGAACGGACGCCAAATTCAACACAACACCTCAGGCGCCAGAACGTAACTGCTGCACCTTTTAAGGTGGAACGGACGCCAAATACGACACAACACAGGCGCCAGAATGTAACTGCTGCACCATTTAAGGTGGAAGGGAAAAATTCCAATTTGAAGTCAAACACGAAGGCTAAGGCCCAAAGCACAGTCCAGCACAGAGCCTGTATGAGCATCTTTACAGAAAACGAGGGCTTACATCGAGCTCTGTTTCTCTCTGATACTAATAATGATAATGATGATAATAATAATAATAATAATAATAATAATAATCGGCTGGGCATCTGCACCATCACAAAAACAACAGCGTCCACTCACCCTGCGCATGCAGCTGCAGCTCCTCTCAGTAAATCACAGACAGACGGACTGAGCTGCTGAAGGCAGCGTCCAGCCCAGACTGCCCTCTTTCAGCGCCGTGCTGCTCGCCGTGATGCCCTTTCCGTGAAAGGATGCACATTGGGAGCTGTGATGTCACAAAGCTCGCGCCGGCCTGGCAGCAGAAGAAGCGCTCTGCTCATTCATCAACCTCATCAGAGAGAGAGACAGAGCGAGAGAGAGAGAGAGAGAGAGAGAGAGCACGCTAACAACGGCCATCCATTATTCATGCAGTCATGAAGAATTAAAACCTCAAATATGCTCTTTAAAAGATGGTTCTTCAAAGGTTCTTTAGTAAAAGAAGTGGTTCTGTTCCGATATAGAACCATTTGCATGCATAAGTGCATGGCGAAATGGTTCTTAAGATGATGGAGAATGTTTTGTAAAAGCTTCTACACTCTTAAAAAGGTATTTCTTGAAGGGTTCAAGAAATATCTTAGTAAAGGCAGTGGTTCTATTTAGAACCATTAAGTTCTATGTAGAACATGTGCATGCTTAAATCGTTCTCTGTATGGTGAAATAGTTCTTCAGAAGGATGAAGAATCTGTTGTATATGGTTCTACTGTCCTAAAAACAATGGTTCTTTAGTAAAAGTAGTGTTTCTATTTAGAACCATGAGTTCTATATAGAACAGTTTGCATGCTTAAATGGTTCTTTGCGTGGTGAGATGGTTCTTCAGATTGATGAAGAGATGTGTTGTATATGGTTCTATATATCACCAAAAAGGGTTCTGTTGTTACGATGTCAAACTTGTAACAGTAGAAGAACCCTTTTTGGTGCTATACAGAACCATGTACAACGCATTCATCATCATATATAATTGGATCATCATATATAATTTTACACTCTTAAAAAAGGTGGTTCTTCAAGGGTTGTTTAGTAAAGGCAATGGTTCTGTTTAGAATCATGGTTCTCTGCATGGTAAAATGGTCCTTCAGATTGAAGAATGTGTTGCATACGGTTCTATATAGAACCAAAAAGGGTACTTCTGTTGTGATAAGCTTGAGATCACAACAATAGCAGAACCCTTTTTGGTGCTATATAGAACCATTTTCAAAAGGTGCTTTATAGAGCCATATACAACACATTCTCCTTCAATCTGAAGAACCATGCATGAAATCAAGGCTCTAAATAGAACCACTTGCTTTACTAAAGAACCCTTGAAGAACTATCTTTTTTAACCATGTAGGCTCTGTATAGCACAGTCTACTAAATGGCCTGGTTTATTAGGAGCATTAACAGCCACAGTGTGACGTGGAAAACATCTATATTTATTAAAAGTTCATATCAGCAGCAGCTTTTTTGATGGTTTCTGATTTTATTTTTCAGCAGGAATCACTGACTTCAAATGGGGAAACTTACTTTTTCAATCAGTTTTCTTGTTTTATTACATCCATTTAAAATATCCATGTATAATATTTCATTTTTAAATGAGATTTACTTTTCTCCTGTTTTTATTACTATCCCTTTAAGACACATGCAAATGAGCTCTGTTCTGATTGGCTGCACCCCATTCAAAAAGCAGTCCAGGCTGACACACTCCTTATCACTTCAGCTATGAATGGGCGGGGCAAAACTTCTGGATGAATAAATGACTGTATGCCAATAGGTTTGGTTTTCGTGACATCACAAAAGCTGTTCAAAGCAGGTTGCTTTTGCAGCTTAGTTTCCGCACATGGTCTGGGGAGCGCATTTAAGTGTGTTTACATACTGACTAGATCAAACTCTTTATTTCAAGAAAGCTTGGTTTTCCATGATATGGGCCCTTTAAACCATGACCTCAGAGCAACAACACACAGATGACGACATAGTTTAAAGACATTTGGGTCAATCTGTGTTAGATAACCTGGAAGCTCTGTCTCTGGGCTCTGCAGACTTTGGGGCTACAGCATGAGAAGATGCTTTAGTGATGTCCTTTAATCCTCAGTGATCTCATAAAGCTGGCTTGGATTTGGGCCTAACTTTTTCTAGCGTTAAAAGCTCAGAGGAATTCAAAAGAGCAATTAAAAGCAAATCTCCAGAATTCCTCAGTAATCATCGCTGCATTCAGAGTGATTCTGCTACCTTTGCTACCGGATCACTTAATTCTGGCAAGCAGTTCATAAAATGACCACTACGTAGTGACAGCATATTATTTATAAAAAAACAATCACAAACATACAGTATACACTGAACAGCCGCATCATTAAAGAGGAATTCCACCAATTTTTCAAAGTTTTGGCATAACTCTGTGTGTGAGATGTAAACAGAGTGATTCAGAGTGGTTTGGTGCGAAATGGTTCAGATTTCTGTACAGTAGTGGTGATAGGAACCAGGGGTCACCATGACTACAACACAAGTGGATCAGACACAGCAGTGCTGCTGGAGGTTTTAAACACCTCAGTTTCAATGCTGGACTGAGAACTAAAAACATCCAGCCAGCAGCATCCTGTGGGCAGCATCCCGTGACCACTGATGAGGGACTAGAGGATGACCGACACAAACTGTGCAGCAGCAGACGGGCTATCGTCTCTGACTTTACATCTACAAGATGGACCAACAAAGTAGGAGTGTCTAATAGAGAGGACAGTGAGTGGACACAGTTTTTTAAAAACTCCAGCAGCACTGCTGTGTCTGATCCACTCGCACCAGCGCAACACACACTAACACACCACCACATCAGTGTTACTGCAGTGCTGAGAATGACCCACCACACAAATAATACCTGCTCTGTGGGGGTCCTGTGGGGGTCTTGACCATTGAAGAACATATGAACTGAAGTCTGTAATTGCAGAACTACAAAGTGAAACTATATGGTAAGTGGAGCTGATGAAATGGACAGTGAGTGTAGAAACAAGAAGGTGGACTTAAAGAAGTGGCCAGTCAATGTGTAATTATGAATTGTCAACCAAACCAACACATTTACATAAATCCGCCTTTGCTGCTTACAGCAGTTTAGCCCCACCCACTTACTGGAGTAATAAGGAGTGTTTCAACTCTGAGAGCTTTTTGAATAAGGCACAAAACAGGCCTGCCAATCAGAGCGGAGCTCATTTCCATAAATCAGTCCTAAAGGCACAGTAACAAAAACAGCCTGTTTAATTGTAAGAGATGAAGAGAGGCTGGAAAATGATCGTGTAGAAATGAATTACGTCTGTTTTTGGTAAATAAAACCACACAAACATTATAAGTGGAGCTCGGAGTGAAATGGAACAAAAATGTAAGATGGGTCCTTTAAAAATATATTAAAACATTCAATTAGTATCTTAATATAATGACTTACTTTTTTTAAAATATTGACTTAGTATCTCAAAATAATGACATATTTTCTCAAAGTATTCACTTAGTATATCGCTGCTAAACAAAGCCTCACATCTCCAAAATGGTAACTTTACAGGAGAAGCAAACTTACTTTACTTCTAATGTAAGTCAATGGAACCAGAATTTCTTCCAAGTCATTTTGAGCCTTTTCTTTTGGTCCATTCATCACAAAATGTGCACACAGTGTAAAGGACAACAGGCAAAAACTGAAAAACCAAAGTGGAGATAAGAGGTTTAGCTCCGACAGCAGCGATATCAAAATAATGACTCATTAGCCACGTTTACATGCAGCCTGATAATCCGTTAATAATCTGACTAATAGCTCAATCGGAATAGAATACGTCCATGTAAACACCTCAGTCGGAATGGTCCAGTCCGATTGAGGCCATTCGGAATACAATTTCTATCCGATTGAACGAGGTGGCTAAACTTCTAAAATAATCTGTTAAGCAGAAGAATAATAGCCATGTAAACGCCTGTATCCGATTACATTCCAATCGGAACGTGTAAATACGTTCTGCGCATGTGCGTAGCGTCATAGCGAAAGTTTATAACGTTCAACATGGCGGAGCAGAAACTGGTCTACAGAGGAGACGAAGTTTATGCTCTGATCTTTAAAAGACGGCGGTGGGACGGACGTCCAGTTTAATAGTCTCAGAACTTCTTTAATAAGGACATGTGAAGCACGTTTTCCTGAGTCTAACATCATTTTAAAGCAATTAAAAACACAAGCGCGCCAAGAGAGAACGCAGTTGCTATAATGTGACTGTAATATGACTAATAAAAACTCATAATACAAACTCTTTATGACTTATTGTAAATGGGAATAAGACTGTAAGTTGAGAATTTCAGAGATTTACAGCTTTTATATTACTGTTACAGTAAAACAGTGGCCAACTTTTCGAGGTCATAGAAGACAGAGCTGCTCCTTTATTACATTTAGAATTAGAGCTGAAGACTTTCACTAATGTTCACCCCCCCACCCCCCACCCCCCGTGATAATTCAGTATTTAATATGTGCATGTTTTATGTCAAGCTACTGGGGGTCCCCGCAGTGCTCCTCCCCTACGCCAGTGGATTTCTCTGATATTTAAAAACGTAATATTCATGTAAGAACGTTTTTTTAGACATACTAACTATGAGAATGTCTGAACACATGATGAGGCAGGTCGAAGTTCACCTACAGTTAAAAACAATTAAAACATTCATCTGAAAATCACCACCATTCTTCAGCTATAATTATGGATCAATTAGTCTGCTGCCTCCAGCTGTGTCACAGACCTAAATGAAATGAAATGACAATCCGCATTAATAAATAATGTGTCTGATTATGGATTTGGGCTCCTGCTGAGTTCCAATACATTACCCCTTATTAATCATTTCACATTATTATCCAGAGATTGTCTGTGCTTTTTAGTAAATGTGTTTAGTTGTTACGATGGCGAACCATCACTGTGTCCTAAATGGCCCCTAATCACTAAACCCTATGTTAGAATATTTGGATCTGTATACAGAGCACTACTATGAAGAATAGAAATTTGTGATGGTAATAATTGGGACACTGCGCCATACGGGTTTGCTGATTACTGCATGACGGCAGATTCCGTCACATAAACACTAGCTGTGTCCAAAACTGTTCCCTGTTCACCATAGAGTGCACTATTTTGTAGTGGTGTACAAAAACATAGCGCAGAAGATGCAGTGCACTCAAACAATCCCACAATGCAACACAATAAGAAGTGTACAACTGATG